TTGCGACAGATTACTTCACAAAATGGGTCGAAGTAGAGGCATTAACGCACATTCGAGATGCTGATGTTAAGCGCTTTGTATGGAGAAATATCATAACACGATTTGGCATTCCAAGAGCACTTATCTCAGACAATGGCACCCAGTTTGATTGTGGCGTCTACCGAGAGCTGTGCAGCAAATATGGTATCCGACCTTACTTTTCCACTCCGGCTTACCCATAAAGCAATGGTCAAGCCGAAGCCTCTAACAAATCCATCTTGGACGGCATCAAGAAGAGGCTGGAGAAAGCTAAAGGCAAATGGGTCGAAGAATTGCCAAGTGTATTGTGGGCTCATTGAACTACGCCGAGGCGATCCATTGGGGAAACACCGTTTGCTTTATGCTTTGGAACACAGACAATCATACCCCTGGAAATCGGCCTCTGAACCTTGAAATCGAAAGTTTTTGATATGGGCCGAAACGACATGATGTTGGCTTTGGATTTGACTCTGATTGAAAAACGAAAGACTGTGCCCTTGCATCCATGGTACGGTACTAGCAGCAGCTTGCTAAGTCGTATAATCAACGTGTTCAGCTGAGCCGCTACACACCAGGAGAGTTGGTCCTGAAGAAGGTACTTCCAACCGCCCGGAAACCAACTGATAAAAAATTGGGTCCTAACTAGGACGACCCCTATCAGATAGATTCTATCGCGGGAGTGGGGGCATATCGGCTCAAAGACATGTCAGGAAGGAGTCTCCACGGCCTTGGAATTCAACGCACTTATGAAAATTCTATCATTAAACCCGACCTGTGGGGAATGATACTAGTTTTGAATGATTCACCATGTACACAGTCCACTTTTGTAATGCAAAGATTCCAGTTTACATACTGTGAAATCCAGTTGAAAAGTGTTCCGATAAAAGCCTCCGGATTCAGTGCGCCCTTCGTGGATATCACGATTGGCCAAATAAAGTCTTCGGATTCGAAGCCTCATTGGCGCATGACGCCTTTGGGCCGAAAAAGCCTCCGAATTCGGAGTGCCCTTCGTGGATATCACGATTGGCTAAATAAAGTCTCCGGATTCGGAGCGCCCTCGGCGCATGATGCCTTTCGGCCTAAAAAGCCTCCGGATTCAGAGCGCTCTTCGTGGATATCATAATTGGCCAAAAAGCCTCCGGATTCGGAGCACCCTTCGTGGACATCACGATTGGCCAAATAAAGTCTCCGGATTCGGAGTCTCATCGGCGCATGACACCTTTGGGCCGAAAAGCCTCCGAATTCAGAGCCCCATCAGCGCATGACACCTGTGGGCCGATAAAGCCTCCGGATTCGGAGCCCCCGGATTCGGAGCCCCATCACGATTGGCTAATATTTAAGTCTCCGAATTCGGAGCTAGGGCCATGCGTAACATGTGTGTGCCGAATAAATATTCAATTTAGAATGCTCTGATTAAGTTGAGCCGGCAAAAACCGTTTACACATTAAAGCATATAAACATTCGAAATGAAATGCTTAGTTAACTTGGGCCGGCGCAATCCCACAAACAGATCAAAACATGCAAACATGTAAAAATTCATAATGAAACACAAACATTTAAAATAAAACATTTTATTCAATCAGCCAATGATTACATAGTTTTGAACGCAATCTGCGTTTGAGCATTATAATGAGTATTTTTATTCGGCGTCTCCCTCATCCTCACTCTACTCGACTTCAAAGGTGGAAAAGGGAAAATGATTACGTTGGTATAGCGGCAACGCCGAATCAATGCCCGATGCTCGAAGAGCTTCCGCGGCTTGAAATGCCTTGATCCAACCATGCTTAAATCCACGATTTTCACATCGGCAAACTTCCTCAGCGAGCTTTTCCCGGGTCTTTTCTATCCCTACTTTCCGGCCTTCATGGAAGCCTTTTTCATAAGCCCTCCCATTCGCGGACTCTATCGCAAACATGCTCGTCGTATCATGATCAGCAATTGCACTACTGATAAGCCGCTGGGTCACCCTTTCTTTCATAACTGGGTTAGCTTGACCGGCTGGTTATGTCTGAGTGGCCTTGACCTTCCTTAGCTCGTGCTCAGCCATTTCCGCCCGAGCTTTCAAGTTTCAAATGCGTTCATCCTTCTTCTCTATTTCTCGTCGGGTAGCACGAAGGCGTATGCCGATTTCGTAGGCGGTGTACAGCCCTTTCACCGCCACATGAACTCCCTCTCGAAACACCTCAAAGTCAGGTCGACCAACTATTGACTGCTGGACTTCTGGCGGAAAGATTTGTCGTGCAAACTCAACCGCCACGTTCGGGTCCCGAATGATGGAATCAGCCTCTGTCATCGGTTTGTTCCCAACGAAAACAGAAAAGCTCAATGGGCGTGGTGGTCCACTAGCCTCACTTCGTAAATGAGGGGAGCTCCTCCGCTGGCGCTTCTCCTTCCTTGGTGACCTGCTTCGTTGACGAGGAGAGTGACACCCTCGTGTTCTGCAGATGCCCTACCCCCCGTACGGGGAGGTTCGCCATTTTGATTCATTGTTGAGTCCAGCTCCACCAGCGTCCTGCCCTCTCCTTTACTATTAAAGAAAAGTCTAGTTGACATTCACGCTTTTCTGGCCACGAAAGACGAGCAGAATCGAGTCGCTTTATGATCAGATGGAATCTCTCACCCTTTTTAATTACTCAGGAGTGCACCCCACTCTTGAGGCGGCCTCATCAATACGCGCTCCTGCAACCACCGACATTCAGCATTGTTAATTCATTTCTATATTCGGCATTGTCGATATATACCGAACTGGGGCAAAGGCAGGTTCGTGAATCTCAAAGGCCAAAAAGGCTGGCTGAAAGGATCATGCGTTTGTCATCCCATGAACTAATGATATTTGGCTTTCAGAGTTCATACATTGGCTGAGACAAGGGCAGATTTATTAATCTGATCGGCCAAATACCTAAGCCCAATGCCGATCGATTTATGCCGCAGCCACTCCATGAACAAATAATATTCAGCATTGTTAATTCATTTCTATATTCAGCATTGTCGATTTATCCCGAACTGGGGCAAGGGCAGGTTCGCGAATCTCAACGGCCAAAAAGTCTGGCCGAAAGGATCACGCACCTGTCATCCCATGAACTACTGATATTCGGCTTTCGGAGTTCATACATTGGCTGAGATAATGGCAGATTTATTAATCTAATCAACCAGATACCTAAGCCCGATGCTGATCAATTCATGCCATAGCCACTCCATGAATGAATAATATTCGGCAAGATCACATTTATTAATCTGATCACATTTATTAACCCTTAGATACCTAATCGGCAAGTTTACATAAACGTTTATCTATCGCGCAATAGACTGCATTAGTTTTTACCCAAAATAGATAAAGCAAAATAGTAATGTTCATTGATAACAACAATTAAGTACAGGAAATAATGCAAGGCGAGAGAAATTTTCATTCATAAAATGAATACAAATAGTCATCATTTTATACATGAAGATTGCCCCAAGTAAATAGATGTTTACTAAGAAAACAAAACATGATTACAAAAAGATACATTGAAAATACCTAACAAAACTAAAGTGATCCCCAAATCAATCCTCGAGATCAGACTTAAGCGGCTCAACGTCCACTTGCTCGTATGGAATCGACATGTCCAATGTCACTCCAGCGGCAGCAAGGGCTTTGAGCTAGCCATGTTTGAATCCCCGATTCTCGAATTTGGGGACCTCTTCTACATAGTTTTCAAGGGTGGCGCTCTTCCCAGCCTCGAACGCTTCAGAAGCCTCAAAGTCGGCTTTTTTCTTCCCCGCCTTCGACTCTGCCAATTCAGCCTCCAGCTTGGCAAGTGCCTCTTTAGCTAACTTGAGCGATTCCTCGCTCGCATTTGCCCTCTCCTCGGCTTCCGATTTGAGTTGGTCAGCAGTTCACGCCCTTTCCTTCTCAACTTCGGCCCGCGCACTTTCTATTGTCACTCTCATCGCCTCGAACTCGGCCCTGCTCCTCTGACCCTCGACTTTCGACTTCAAACAGCCAATCCTTTCAATGGCATCATGCCGGCGGCGGCCTAATTCGGCAATCCTTCCAACCGTCTGCAAAACAAGGAGTTGGGATCGTCACATACCAAGAAATACCGTTTGCAAACAAAACCAAAACAAAGAGTTACGATGAAGTCACATACCAAAAGGGCCGACTCGGCAACTAATGCTATTGCTACCAAATTCGGCTCCGCCCGAAAGGTTGCCTTGTCAGCCGGCAATGAGACCGAGGCAGTCAAGCTCAACGCCACAGCTGGATCTTTCAAGGCCGACGCTTCGGAGGAGATCGACGTGTTTTTTATCTTTGGTTGAACAACGAAAACAACAACCACATCCGACTCCTCTAAGCATGGCCGTTTATCAACAGGGTTCTCCTCAGAGCCGGCCTCACCCTCAGTGGTACGTTTCTCTCCCCGATCTTCTAAAATCGGCCGTTCTTCTGGATTCGACCGTTCGGCTGCCTTTTCCATCTCAGCCACATCAACGTGAGCCGTTTCTTCTTCAATAATAGGTTCGACAAATTCAGTCGGGGCAGGTTCAAAACTGATGGCCTTGGTTTTCCGTCGGGCGGCCATGCGTTCGGCATTTCTCTTTCGTGCCAACTGCGTGAGATTTTCCCCAACCATATCCTCAGAATAAGCGCCGGGAAGGTCTCCCAAGTTTGTAAAAATATCTTCGAAGGAGACGTCCCCTCGACCTGATGTGAACAGAGGATTGGACGAGTTGAGTCCGGCTTCCTCAAAAGCCGAGTTAAGAGCTTCGTCAACCTCCGCTGCCAACTGGTTCGGGTCCTCAGTGATTGGTTCGGCCGCTTGTTTTTCTACGTGTTCCGAATCGGATGTTTCTAAACCAATCTGTCTTAAGTTTTTGAAGCTGGGGAAGATAAGGGCTATAAGATGGTTGTCGCCTCTCGGGATTGGAATGTTTTCGGCCGCCAAAAATGTCGTGTAAGTCGGCTCGTACCGCAGGAGAATGTGGGCTGCCCTCATTTATTTTTAAAGGTTTGAACGATCGACGAACTGTAGTGAGGTTTTAATTTTTGCAAGCACAGCGTCGTTGTCTGAAACCAACACTCTCTTCAAGTCACTGCCTGCATAAACAAAGCGATTAGATAGAGCCGAATACTAATATGGTAATAACAAGAAACAAAAGCAAACTAATCGGCCACCTGGTTCGCCTTTTCGCCTTAGAACGGGGTCTAGGCGATCTTCACCCTCGCTAAATTTCCAATTACCTCGGACAACGACCATCACGTCATTGACACGCTTGCCAGAGCTGGCAAGCATAGTTACTAAGTGATGATCAGTATCCTTGGCTCTAAGAAAATAGCGTCCTAGCCGGCTATTAGATTTGGCTAGGACATAACAATGCCGAACGGCGGGTATACCTAAATTAATCCTAAGATGTCGGTTTAACTCTACAATTCCCATTATGATGCGAAAAAAATTCACGTTGCGCTGGGAAGGGATTAGACCCCAGTATTGAAGAACGGCCCTCAAAAATGGGTGAAGGGAAAAGCGGACTCTGCCCTCAGCAATTGACAAGAGAGGAAAGACGATTGTGTTCTCATCATCCATCTCTATATCAGTGGTGTTGTCCGCCCAGAGTGATAGATGGACATCATCGGGGATGGAAAAATGGCGTTGAAAGTCGGAGATTCGATCCGCTGAAAGGAGCTCCTTCAGATGTTTTGCCATTCTGGCCAGCCCAAGGATTATGGAAAACTAAAAGCAAACAAGAAGGTGGGATCGAAAGTGAAGGAGAAGAAAACTTACAAGAGACGAAGGGGAAAACGAGAAACAAGGAGTTGCAGAAGCCGCGAAGTGAAGGAGTTGCACTAGAAAGTGAACCAAATATTTTTGAGTATTCAAAACATACAATCGAAGAGACAATTTTAAATCACATTAAATGGAGGCAGTGTACGAAGGGGCGGGAAATCGTTATAATGACCAAAAAGCGTGTGCGCGTTCTGACACGCATTGGGAAGAGGATTAACCGTCGAATTTTTGACTTTCCAGGCTCGAAACCAAACACGCCGACTAACTGATGCTAGTGTGGTGTTTGGGGGGCAATTGTGGGAGCTGAATTTCATCGGGTCAATAAGGACGAGTGGATGAGTCTACTCTGGGACATAACCTTTATTTGACATCGATCCTGGTCAATTGAAGAGCCAAATAAAATAATCGGCATACCAACCAGTAGAAGAAAGGCCGAGTAGAAGTACATGTAATGGATCGAGGATGGGCCTAACCCTAAGGCCCAAAGAGAGTAATATAAATACAGGATCATTAGTCAGAGAAAGGTATGTGAGAATTAGTATGCTTAACTTAAGACGCAAGCAATCTAGAGAGTATACACTAACTTATCCGTCGGAGTGCTAATTCCGGCACCCTCGATCGGAGTGTTCATTCCTTTTCAGGTGACTTGCTGAGGATCACGAGCGTCCCCCATGATCAGAAGAGTATTTCCAAACCACTTCTCCACACCTGCATAGAAACACATATATGAGTAGTAGCACCAGAATCTACCCACCAAGTGTTTCTTGGTACTGAAGCTAAATTTATTTCAGAACATACCAAAACATAATATATACCTTTCTTTACATGGCAGGTGGCGTGTTTGGCACAATCCTTCTTTCTGTGTTTGGGCTTGCCACAAAAGAAACAACCATCCTGCACTTTTTGTTTCTTTGGTTCCGGACCCTTAGGAGCAGCAACTTCATTTCCCTTATGCTTTCTTTTGCCCGTATGCTTGGAGGTGCTTGCCAGATGAGTACTTTCAGTCCTTTCTTGCTTCAATCTCTCTTCCTCTTGCACACAAAATGAAATGAGCTCATTGAGAGTCCATTTCTCTTTCTAGCAGTTATAACTGACCTTAAATTGGTTAAATTGTGTAGGAAGAGAGATGAGAACTAAATGCACAAGCAGATCATTAGATAGGTCGAGCTTTAGTGCCTTAAGTTTTGAAGCAAGATGAGACATCTCCATGATGTACTCGCGAACATTACCCTTGCCTTTATACTTCATTGAAATCAAGCTTGCTAAAAGCGTGCTTGTTTTAGCCTTATCATTTTTAGCAAAACGCTTTTGAATTTCCAAAAGAAATTCACTGGCAACGGTAACATCCTCTGTTATTGCACCCCGAAAGACTTCTGGAATCCCACCCTTCATGATCATAAGACTTAGGCTGTTAGAACGATCCCACTTTTCAAAATACACAATTTCCTTAGGAGTACTTTGTTCAGTGAGATCATTCGGTTTTGGCATTCTTTATGCCAAATCTATGTCCATGCAGCCGAGAACAATCAATATGTTCTCTTTCCAGTCCTTAAAGTTCATTCCATTTAACATTGGAACATTGTTCATGTTGGCAGAGATTGAAGTAGTCGACATTAAAACTGAATAGAAAATAAAATAAAACGAATAAACAATTATGCTCACATTAAGTAACCAAACAAATAATCTATAAATAAATTAATTTAATGACAACATCTCAAGATACCTAACACAACATTAATACCAAGCCTTTGGGTAGTGATATTAACTGTAAGTGGTATTCTTGTTGTAATGATCAAACATTGACAATAAGTTATGTCAAATAACAAATCTATCTTTTGATGGATTTATTATTCACATTAGGTTTCCTTGACAATTGGCACATGTTTATCACCACAAAATGTGTGTGTAATTCTGCCAAGTATTAATCATGTCTTTGGACCGATAAATACCCGCATGAGATACACAGACATGAACATCAAAACATTCCATATAAAACAATCTACACAAGAGAGATCACTTTTGTGACATCTTGTTTGAATTGACTTATATTGAGAATGTTAGAAAATTAAATTTCTGTAGACGTTGTATGAAATTACATTAAAGGCGATGCAGAGGCGGCGGAGAAGGGCGGTGAGGATGGCTGGAGAGGTGGAAAAAGGGCGATGAAGGCTGCGGGGGAGGCGGATCCGGCGTGAATAGAGAAGATGAAGAGGACGAGGCGGCGGAGAAGAGGCGGTCAAGCTATGGAGAAGACGACGGGGAAGAGGCGGTGAAGAAGGCGCAGCATGGTGTTTGTTTATAAT